TCACTCGGAATTGACACTAGAGAGAGAGAGAGAGAGAGAATGTGAACCTGTGTTTCTGTGAGCCGTAGAGAGAGTGCGAGGTTGAGTCGCTCGCAAACAGATAGATATCGAGTTGTTTTAAACTTATTTTCGAGAGCAACCAATTGTTCGTAAGTGAATGCAGTCCTCGCTCTCCGGGGTTTTCCAGTCTTGCTATCGTTTAGAGATTTTTTCTTTTTGCTTGAATTACTGGAACTGCAGTTATTATTGTTATCATTATTTGGTCCGCAATTCTTGCTGCTTGTGGTCATAGATGTGGTTGAATTGGGAGAGACATCATTACTGCTTAGATTACTGCTCTCCTTATCACTTGATTCCATGGGCGACATAACCCTACTGTCCAACTCTAGTGTCAATTCCGAGTGACTATCTTTTACAGAATCTAATTACAAACAAAACAAACAAATTTGTCATATAATAGAAAGTTAACTATAATTTTATACTATATGTAGAGATCACAGAGAATTAAAGACTTTACTTTAATATTACACAAAATCTGCTTTTCATTCGCATTACATAATAAGTAACTAAACAAACCATTTAAATAATTTGTACTCATAATGAAATTTTTATATAAATCTTTAATACAAACTTAAAATAACTAAATAAACAAAATATTCTCTAAAGAAGAAAGTATTTGCTGAATACTTCTTTCACAATATTTTGTTTATATATTCTTTTTAAACGTTCTTTAAATAATTATAAAAACTAACTCACATTATAATAATCCATGTATTATAAAAATAATACTTTGTAAATGTGATATAGAATTTTAAGAAATTTTAATCATTTTAAATATAAACTAGCACATTTAAATTGCACTCTCATATATTGTATAGAAGCTTTTAGTATAATTTTACTCTATCTAAATTACAATCTTCAATAGACATTAGAATTAAAATATTTCATATTTACTAATAGTATATTAAATATCAATTGAATTATATAGTATGTAAAACAATACAGTACTGGATTAAATTTGACAATAGTAACAATTATTTTATACTCTAAAATGTATATTATTGTGCGCTTAAGTCATAATATACATGTGATTACAGATTAAACACAGATTTCTTCACAAAATAAAAACTAATCAATTGTATGAAACATTTGCATCAAATAAAAATTAGTAATGGACAGAACTGAACTAAATGTTTAATTAAACGAAAAATTAATTTAAATATTAATGCATTATGCTTATAAGCTATTATACACTAAACTATTTCTAACAGAAAACTATGAATGTCTTTCATTGTTGACTACAAAGTGTTTAACAAAAATGTTGATTTGGTTTGAAGTTTTCGGCAAATATTCAAAGCCTTGAAGACATTTTGTCAGATTATATCAATTGCTTTACGTATCA